CGGCTCCTGCGGGCCCCGCCGGAGCTGCCGGCGGCCTCCCGGTCCTGCCGAGCCGCGGTGCTGCGGGTTTCGCCCACAGCAGCGATGTGGAATTACCGGCTCCGTCGGTAAGGTCGCGGCCGCGGGGAGCTGGCAGAGCGCAGAGCGGCTCGCAGGGTGATTTACAGGGACGGGCTGGGATCGGGACAGCCGCCGCTGAAGAGCTCTCGGTGTGTTGGGAAACAGGTGACTGGAAGCTGGACGGCCAAGAAAACTTGATCTCTGAAGCTTTCACGTAGAAAACATGTACCTCGGGCTGTTTACAAAAAGGGGACAGATTCATACCATGCCAAGAAAAAAAATAGATTAAACGGGCACAACTAGGAAAAATATAACAACATTATCTGAAAAGTTCTATAAATAATACACCAAAATTAAATGAGTCATCATGATGTTAAATTTATTTTTATTCCCATCATAAAATGTAGAGGACCTTGTAACAAAACTTCTCAAATGCCTTTTCTAGATCAAAGGTTACTGAGAAAAGCCCTTTGTGGTTAACTCAGTTTGGTCAGTGCTGAAGTAGCAATGACAGGCACAGCTCTTCAAGTCCTGCTAGTGCTGAGGGTGCTCCTGAAATTGAAACCACTACATTGCCAGCTCAATAAAAATAAAAAACTGAGGCAGAGGATGGAGCTTGTATTTTGGGACTTTTTGGCAGAGATTCTTAATTTGCCCTCTCTATTGAGGTTTTGATGGAATTAATACAAAAGGACAACTGGTGTCACTTGTGAGTTTTAAGTTGTGAGTTTTGTTTAAATTCTATTAATCATCTGTGAGAAAAAAAATAAAATACATCTATAGAAAAGGCTTAAATCTGTGGGGCTTCTAAGAGATTCCTGCCCAGAGATCTTGGTATGTTTTTTCCCAGTTTGGTTTAACTCCTTTTGTGGCACAGAAGTACAATTAGACTACAAGAGAAAAGATGAATACTTGTGTCTTACCTGCTGTCATCCAGGAGCTTCAGTTGAGGGGTGGTGGGTACATCATCCCACCAGAAAAAACACAGACAAATAACAACCAAAAAAACTTCCAAGGATAAAAAAAAGTAACTTCCAAGGGAAAAGGGGGTGGAAAGCCCTTTAGGTATGGAACAATAAAGGAGTATGAGATTAAACCAGAAGCTTACCTGTTCCCCTAAGAAAGAAAAAAAATCCACCTGCCAATACCACGTTCCTAAGTTTCCATGGCTGTAGTGCTGAGGACAGGGTGACTTTTAATGGCATGGAAAAACATTCCTGTGTGGATTGACATTGTGTTCTGCTCACACAGTTGACTGCATCCAGCTGAAAGTGCCAGTGATTCAGCAGCTGTACCACTGGGACTGCGGGCTGGCCTGCTCCAGGATGGTGCTTCAGTAAGTGGCTCTCTTAGAGTGGGAAATCCCATTCCATGGGGAGGGGTAGCAGGAAGCAAATCCCAGGGAGAAGAGGTGTGTTGAAGCAGCCATGAGTTCAGGAGAGTAGGAGAGTAACAGTTTTTGAGATACCCTTGGACAGCGACTGCTGCTTGGGCCTGGCCCAGCTCTCTAGCAGGAGCAAGGGAAAATATAAACTGCAGTGAACTTTGGACCCTTTTGAATAATTGACTAATTAGACAGATGCAGAATACCTAATCAGCTCTATGAACCTTGCAGGCTGGTATGCATAAGCTCATAGAAAGTGTTGCCTCTTTCCTTTTGTTGCAATTCAGAACTGATAGTTAGCTGTGACTCACCTGATTCCTTTCTGTGTATTCAAGTGATGGGTAGGTGTATCCCAGTTTATGAGTGTGTGCTATACCTGTACCACTTCTGTCCTGCTGAGCCCCAACCTGTGGGATGAGTGTTTGTGTTCCAGTAGTTTCAACTTCAAAATAGTGTTGCCCTTTGGGGTGTTTTTTTTTTGTTGTTGTTTTTGTTTATTTTTGCTTTTACCTTTTTTTGAACTAGTAGCTGTCCTGCTGAACTCCTCTTTCCTTCCACAGAGGAACATGAGCTTAGGTGCAGGAGAAATACCTATTTAGATGTCCACTTAGTAGATATGAAGCAGAAGATTTTCATTTCTCTCCATCCCTTCTGCCAAGACGTTAGTCCGTGTGCTGGTAATTTCCCATCTTGACTACTGTAACCTCTATTCCCTTTACCTGTTTGCCACTCCAGTCTGCCCAAAACTCAGCTTCCAAGATTAATCTTCTCACCCTGCTGATCTGACCTTGTTTACCCTGCATCCTCAATTCCACTCCCTGTTTATTTTTCATCATTCCATTTGTTTTCTTACTTTCAGAACTCCCTGTAACTACCTCACCCTGCCCCTTTGCAACCTGTCCCAAGCTTCCTCCTGACTTCATCTCCCTCTTTCTTCCTTTTATGTCATCAGTGCCTAAGACAAGCTTCCTTTGAATATTTACTGAATTCCTTTATGGCTCCTCCTTTTGAAATCCATCTATTGTGTGAAGAAAGTTTTAGTCTTTGACTCTTCTTTCTGTGTTGGCTCTAATACACTTGTACATTACACTGTAAACCCTTCAGGACAGAGTTCTATACCAGCTTGCCTCTGGTACAGCACCTGTACACTTGTAGCACTCTAAAATAGTCAAGGAACTACACATTTCCAATTTTAAAAAGTCAGCAATAAATCCAGTTAAACATTCCCTACTCCCTTCCCTTAAATTTCTGTTTTCTTTGTGGGTTGGTTTGGTTTTTTTTTTTAGGTTATTTCTTAGCCAAGCCCACTGTTTCAGTTTTTATGTGCTGTGATGTAGAGAGGCTTGGGCTACAGCACACATTTTCCTTCTCCTAAGATCTGTGCTTCCCTTCCCCTACCTTTCCTATACCACAGGTACCTGAATCATTTGGACAATGATGAATTTCAGAAAGCCATCCAGGAACTCCAGTTAACAAAGAGTATCTGGACTATTGACCTGGCCTACCTAATGCGGCACTTCGGAGTTAGGCATAAATTTTGCACCCAGACACTCGGAGTGGACAAGGGCTACAAAAATCAGGTCAGTATTCTCACCCACAGGGGGAGAGCAGGCAGCTTTAAATGCCTCAAGTATTATGCTATAAAAACTCTGCTGTGTTACTGACAGTCAGCCACGGTTAATTCGACCTACTGCCAAAATTGGCACAAGTCTGTTCCAAAGACAGTATGATCCCACATATTGATTCCATCTTTTGAATTTTTAACAAGTTTGCATGTAGTGTTCATGAAAGGTTCCAACCTATTTGACAGCCTTGGAGACTGAAGCCCTGTATTTATCTACAGAACAGGTACAGCCTGGGCAGCAGCAGTGTTTAGCTTCCACACTTTCCCCACCACCGTGCCTCAGCCTTGACCTGGAAGATCCACCTCTAGAGGTGAGAGGGGAACTCAGCCTCCCATCCACTGAGAGCTTGGCCTCTCCAGGACTGCCCACAAGGGGCCAAGGAGGGCCTGTAGCAGCCGTGACTTCATTGCAAGCTCCTGCCCAGTTTCCCCTGGGAAACCAGACGGGTTTCTCTCATGTAGGCAGCTGAACAGCCGCTGGATAGAAAGTGCAACAGTAACTGACCAGGAGCCATTTAATTTGCAATTCAGAGCAAATTGTCCTGTTTCCAGTGAACTAAGGGAGAGATCTTTTATCCCATAGCCAGATCTCCAAATTATGCTGGCCCTTGCTAGCAGACTGAGTGGTGGATTACCCAAGGTAAACACCATTCCAGTTCAGAACTTCTGTTATTTCCCCAGTCATTTTACAGGAAGCACTTTGACACAGAAGAGAATCGAGTGAATCAGCTCTTTGCACAAGCCAAAGACTGCAAGGTGCTGGTGGAGAAATGGTAAGCTTACTGTTTTCTTTCTCTTTGGAGATTCTGTGGGCCCCTGCTTTTCTTGGAGGCACCAAGCTAAACTGCTGAAACAGAACAAAATCAAGCCCTAAGCCTTTTTTTGCCAACTAGTGTCTTTCTGCTTTTTCTGTCTCAAAAAAAACAGTGCACATCAAGAGCTAATAATGAAGTTTGAAGAAAAATTAGCCATGATGCACAATAAGTGATATGAAAATGCTGCTAACAGCTGACTGTGTTTTGAATTTGGTTATCCATTACACTTAGGCAGTAGGGAGTGCCTACAGCACTCTAATTGGCCATTGTCAGAATTAAAGAGAATGCTGTATGGGTACAGAACTCATTGTTCCCAAAGCTATGCAAACATGGATCTCTGTTCCCAGACAAACATGCAAAGTACAAGTTAGCATAGGAACTTTTGCCAAGGGGACCATGAAATGAGGAACTCCATGAAAGAACTGCAAACCCAGAAATGGAAAAACTACAGAATTTTCATAATCAGCAGTGAAATTTTATTGGGGAATGACTAAACATCCAACTTGAGCTGTGTCCCTTTTTATAGGGAAGCTGGGTTTGGATCCCTGTTGTCAAAGTGGGGTAAAGGATATGGGGTAAGCCAAGAAGAGAAGATATGAGGTAGCCATAATAGCATTTGAATGCTGAAGTGTAACTTATATTTAGCAGAATCAAGTGCCCTCTCTAATATGCATGGAGTCACTTTAACTACAGCTGTGACAGGACAGAAGGGACACTCAGTCCCTCTTTTACATTCTTAAGACTGTGGCCTTGATCAAGGCAGGGACAGAGGGCATATCTGCCTGTGCAGTTCTGAAGCTGGGGCATCAGACTGGGGAAGTGACACTGGGAAAGATGAAATAAAAAGCACATGAGTTCAGTCAGGTAGTGCACACAGCACAGACATCTGGAGCAGATCCAAGTGATGAGTTTCTCACGCATATGGAACACACCATCTGCCTCGGTGAAGGACAGCTTTTAACAGATGAGGTTATAGGTGGTGTGTGGTGCATACTTACTCTCTGTGGAAATAAAGCCTCAAGAGTATCAGGCCATTCAAAACTTGGGCTGGGAGAAACACAGCCTGTGTGACACAGGCAAATTTGGGCACATCTTAATTTGGTTAGCGGTTACACAATATTTAACCACTCAGTTGATAAAGATTTGGTGTTTCAGAGATAAGCTTTTCAAACAGCAAGAGAGAACACTTCAAATTTTCCTACAACAGAAGTTCCTCAAGTTACTAAGTGAGTTGCTAGCTCCTTTAATTCTCTTCTCTGGGGCATCTGGTGTCATCTCAGAATGTGTTAGTGCAGAACCCAGAGCTGTTGCTCTGCACTTCAGTAGCAGCAGTGAAATGAAAAGGCCTTGAATGCTACAGGTTCTGTCAGGCTTTGTCCATAGAAAAGCCTGCAGGATGTAACAACAAAGAGCTGTACCTGTGATATGGAAGTGTATCTATAGAAATGTGAGTCTCTAGAATGTTGTGTATCTATAGAAATGCCAGCTGCACTGTCCACCATCACATATTTCCTTTACACCTGCCTCTTTCAATAAGCATGTCTGTTCCTTTCCTTGCAGCACAGTAACCGTTCAAGACATCCAAAACCACCTGTCCCAGGGTCACGTAGCCATTGTCCTTGTGAACGCGGTCCTGCTACTGTGTGATCTTTGCTCAAGTCCTGTCAAATACTGCTGCTTCCTTCCCATTGGACAGAAGTGCTTCTGCAGGAGCCCTGACTACCAGGGCCATTTCATTGTGTTATGTGGCTACAACAAAGCCTCAGGGAGTATCTACTACAACAACCCTGCCTATGCTGACCGTGAGTAGCCTGTCCCTTTTGGATGGATTCGCAGCCAGTGCATTGCTAATGAGTCTGACACAGCTGGACCTCCCCTCAGTGCACAGACGTTTCAAGCATCACTACCCAATTTGTCAGAAGGGGTTTTGCCATTAATTACATCACTGCTGCATTTTGTGGTGTGATTTAGTTGAAGCATTCAGATAGGCATTCCAGCAAATGGCTTGTTTGACTTTCAGATGGGTTAGTGAGAGATGCTGAAATGTCTATGTGCAGAATATAACAGAAGGGCCATTTTGGTATCTGTTTGCAGCATTACTTCAGTGGGCTCTTTAAGGTGAAAAAATCTACCCAAGTGAATTGTAGCCTAAGCTGCTGGGTGTAGTCTCTGTACTAGTTTGGTCTGTGGATGCTCCTACATCCAGTGTAAGAACCTTTCACTGGCTAATCCTGAATTTTTTGTAACATTTTGTTCCTCCTTCCCAGGAACATGCTGCACCAGCATCAGTAACTTCGAGGAAGCCAGGACAAGTTATGGCACTGATGAAGATATTCTGTTCATCTACACAGACAGTTGACATCCACAGAGCACACTCCTGCTCCTTCCTGCACAGCCTGCACGGCAGCTGGCTGCTCGTCTCAGGACTCCCCTGCACACACCTCACTCCTGAACTGCAGTGGGACCTTCAACAAGGGAGGCTTTATAAACATTGACAGGACTGTAGTTCAATGCTGTCTTTACCTTTTTTTCTGATGATGTATCTGATTTTGCAATGTCTGTCTCTGGTTTTTTTGGTGGTTATTTTTTCCCGTAATTTTCAACATTGCACATTTGACAGCAGTTCTAAAATACAGGCCTAGAGCCTGTTCACTTTCAGCTTATTTTCAAATTAAACACATAAGAAAAAAGCACCAAATTTATGAACTTTAACACCTGGTAATATTTGCATAGGTTTAGGTACAAACAACAACAACAACAAAAAAATAGAAAATATTTGTTTCTATCTCTGTCAAAGCATCAAGGGCTGCTCTTCATCCAAAATCTATGGATTTGAAGTTCAGCAGAGTATTATAAATGGAAAGAATATTAACTTAAAATACTTTTAAATAATAAAATATGCCTGCTGGCTCATCAGTATTGTCTGCTATGTAGGAAACTTCCCATGTACCAAATTCACAGAGATTTAGCATTTATGCAACTGCAATATTGGAATTGCTCCCTTGCACTACAAACTCAATCTCTTTTGGCTAAATCCTCTTGGATGACTGCTCAGAGCTCCAGATTGCTCCAAAACTTTCAGTGGAAAAATTTTATTTGCACTTGGAAGTCCTTATTGCTCTTTGCAAAAAAGCTCTGAAATGTTATGCCACCCACATGTGCCAGTTTCTGCAGAATCCGTTCTAAATATGAATGTTCTAAATATTTAAACTTATTAAGCAAATGCAGAAAATCGTCATCCACACTAATGGTATATATTTTGTGTGTAAAGTGTAAGTATCTGACAGCATCTACTGCATTGTGCCTAAAATGCTGAATCATAATTCAAGCCAAATTTTGCTGTTGGTATTAGTTTAGTGACCTTCTAAGAAGAGCTAAAATCAATTAAGAAAAGAGGAAATACAAGCATACCTGCTACAAGTAAGAAGGCAGGAATGTGGATTTTTTAGCTCTTATACCACAGCTGCATTTGGATTAAGTTGCTGCTGTATTGAGACATTAAGTGAAATGGCAGAGCCCTTTCCTCTGTTACCTGAGGAGCACTCTGAAGTTTAAGAAAAAACCACTTATTTCAGATTCATCTATCCTAATTTCTTGTAAGTCTCAATCTTCAGTCCTGCCTATATGAAAGTGGGTAGGAGAATCAGCACTGATGTACAATAGGAAAATTTGCACTTCAGACAGAGATCCCACATCTCTGGCATGGTTTTAGGAAAAGAACTGTTCAAGTTCTGGAACTGTGTGAAATCACAGTAAAAGGATATCGTTATGGATAACCAGTGGATATAATAAATAGGAATTGACTGTCAGCATAGAAACTGTTTTTACCAAGATAAACATTTTCTTTTATCAGTTGTTAACTAACTGAAAAGTATACAGTGTTGACTAAGTACTTAGTAAAATCAAGAGTGCTCCTTTGTACAAAGGCAGAAAATAGTAACAGACACCTAAAATGCAGTAAACCTTTAAAAAATTCCGAACAAAAGCGCGTGACATGAAATCCTGTGTGTCAGATTTTGCTTATCATTAGTGAAGTTTAAATACATTCTGGCACTGATGAGGAACAGGTAGGATGTGATTTGTGTAGAACCAGTCCATCAGTGCCACCAGCAGAATCCCTCCAGAAGAAAGGGACAAAACCTAGTGTAGATAATGCCTTTCAACTCCTCCAAAGTAAGTAACAGAAGACTCCTGATCTGGGAATTTTTGTGTCCAGGGCCAAAATTGTGATGTTTGATGTAGAGAGAGTGTATTAGCTCAGTTAATAATTAACAGGTATGGAAGCTACAGGCTGTTAGAGTACTTCCTTAACCCATGCATTTTCAGGTAGGTAGTTCATTCAATACCATTAAACTGCCAAAGGATTTATCTTAGAGCAGGGCTTGATTAGTTGAATAAAAACAATTCTTACAAAGGCTTATAATTGACATTCAGCATCTTACTGTTTCCGTTACCAAAAGTGAAGCCTGGGCATATAGAAAACATGAACTTGAGGGCAAGCCTGGCGTTCTGAAGTGCACACACAGGTGTCACAATATTGACTGGTAAGTGTTTGGTACCCAGGGTTTAAATGCTTCAACAAAAGTGAAAGATAAACAAAGCTGTCTAAGATAGTGCAGACAAAAGGAGAGGTCCGCTATTACAACGGGATCTTGAACAGCTGCCAAATGGAAGAGATGAAAATACAAGAAGCAAAAGCCAAGTGAAAATACTGAGTGTATGACACAAATTCAGCTGAAAAAGCAGCTCACTGCACAAGCATCCAGAACATCTGCATTTTCTGAAACTTTGTTTCCTATTACAGGATTGTCTATCAAAACACTCACTCTGAAAATGTTCTGTTGCTTTGTTTTTGTCAGGATGTCAATAGCAAAGGAAGGGGATTTTACATGCAGGGATTTTATACATAAATATATTTTTATTTGTAATTAAGCCATTCTCAATAAAGGTTAAACTCACAAATAACCATGTAACATAATGTAGCAAGTTCATTTATTAACAAGTTTAAATGTTTTTGAAAATCTGAAACTAATTTAGAAAAACAAAAGAGTTCAAATATTACAACTACAAATTTATAGTTGCTGGGCTGTAAATTGTATTCAGTCTGCATTGCCTGAACTATTGCCATGACCCAAATCATATGAAGCAAAATTTCAGAACACAGTACGCCTAAGAAGAACAAATGTATCATTACTACCTTTATTCCACAGCTGGTTTGTGTACTCTGCAGCCACCACACATCCTACTGGAGTGCAGCCCCAGGGAAGGAGTTTTCCTTACCCATCCTGAACTTTCTGTTCACAGGGAGAAGCATGCAACTGCCCCAGCCTTGCCTGTGCATTTGGCCAGGGTCTCTATTTCTGCTTCCCATCAGGGCAGTGAGCTTTGGAAGATCCCAAAGCATCTCTCTGAGCACAACTTCTGCACCTTGAAGGGGCCCAGCAAAGACACTGCTCCAGCTGTGGTTGTGTAAAAGTCAACAGAACCAAAGTGGTCTTGCTTTGCAGCACCCACAGATCTTCAAATAATGTCTGGGACATTACTCGGCTGTAACAGAACTGCATCAAGTAGAATGAGTAAGCAGAAAAATACAACCCAGATGAAAACAATTTCTGCTTCGTTTCTCCCCTAAATTATGCTTTTGGGCAGAGGGTAAAAACTAGAAAGCAGAAATAGATGTACAATGCAAAATTTAGGTAAAAAATTTCATGTCCTCTGAACTCATCCTATCAACTATATCACAGTACGCTGTATGTGTTTCTACTCTAGAAAAACACTGGATGTACTTCTGGCAAGGAACAAAACTTTGGACTCATTAGTGTAAATACCAAACACTTAAGAATTCATTTTCAGTTATTTTACGTAACACAGTTTTGAATCCTATTAATTAAAATTGGTTACATGAAATTAAACTGACAACATTAAAACAGCAACTTGTGATTCACAGTAAAGCTATCATCCAACAGTAACTTCGAATTTGTCTTGTAACATTTGAGTGTAATGAGATGCTCTCTCTTACTCTTTGATGATATTGGGTATAAAGAAAGGCTGGATTGCTTCAGCAAGCTTTTCTGCATACATTTCATATCTACCAGTCATCTGGAAAGGAAAAATCAAAGCTTCAGTTCTTTCAGTGAGCTACAGAAGTACGTCAGTAGAAAATATTTCTATCCACTGGCTGTTTTTTTCTATGACAATACATTCAATTGTCCCAAACATCAAAAGTGTAATTCCCTCAAAATTCAAGATCTCCAGTGCCTTAGCACAAACTATTTTTTATAAAAGAACTCATATTATGTTGCCTAGGCCTGAAAAAGAAGTGTAGTTCCATTCTGAAAAGTCAAACTTTTAAATGAACTCCTTCCTGTTTTGCAGGAACTGTCTCCTCCTGTGACACTTCTGTCTGCTGACTTTCTAGTTATTATAGTTGTTCTGGATAGCTGACAGTTGAATGTGAAAAGTGGAATTTCTTGTGCATCAACAATTTTTTAAGTTCTGTCAATGTAGGCAAAGGAGTGTCTCTGTAATTAGGGCTTCATGTTATGTCCTTGGCAACCAAGGAACCCTGCTGCCAGCACTAAGTTTGTATATATGCCACTGACAGTGCTGGGGTTACTCTTACTTCACCCATTAATAATAATGAATATCAATGGTTTGGGCAACAGCAGGTGCTGGAAGTGCTGCAATACAGCAGTGATGTAGTGCTGTCATCCTCTTCTGAAGGGCACAGCCCACAGCACTGGCTCTGGGAGGGGCAAATTACATCTTTATTTAATTTGTTTAACCCCTTTGCTGCTCTAAGTTTAGAAAACACATTCTATTGAATGTCCCTTTCAGGCAGCACTGGGTGCAAACTGCAGATACCAGAGCATGTTACATAGGCTCCTACTTGCTGTTTAGGGTTTTCTGCAGTGGGTAACTTGTGACCCCTCCTCCTCATTCCCCACAGCAAGAACTACGTCTGTCTTGGCCAAAACTGAGAGGAAAAGGAAACAGCTCTCTCCTGTCACATAAGCAAAGCCACAGCTGTGCCTTATGTGCCAAAACCCAACAATAGCACTCCACACCATTAACATGAAATTAAGGTGCTGAAAGCACAGGATTTGAAGACAACAAAAAATACACAATTCTACACAAATCAGCCAAAGGGCAGTGTTTTGCTTTTACTGTTTGTTTTTGCTAATCAATACAATCGCTTTTATTCGGATACCCCTCCTAAGCTGGTAGAAGCAATGCTCCATGTGCTTCCTGACACACTAAGCCTGTACTCTGCAGTAAGTGCCTCAGACTCTGGTGGCAAAGCAAAACTAAGTGCCTGCCTGACTTAAAAAACTAAGAATCTCTCAGTACAATTTAATTCCATTATGGCAACAATTGCATGCCTACCACAGGCATCTGTAAAATAACAAATGCAATTCTGTTCCAGAAGATGACCTGAAATTACTTCTTGGTTTTAGTCCCTATATATGGATTAGCAATATTAGCAAAGAAATTAACCTCTAGAGAAGAAATTACTATTTTTTAAATTGGAAACCTTATTCAGCATTTCAAATCCACAGAGACTTTTCATTTTTATGTCAAATTGATGTCAAAACATGTTGAACATTGCACCATACTGTAATGCACAACAGACAAATAAACGAGCTCTATAAAATAAATATCTGCTTGCAGTAGCATGATGTTCAAAAACTGACATATCCTTGCAAATGATTACTTATTTTAAATACTAGGTGATCACTTAAAAACCTACATATATTGTACAGCTGCTTAGCCTGGCATTCTGGTCTACTTTGTTATGATTCAAATCATGCTGATCTTAAGAGTAACTAGGAAAAAGTTCTAGTCTTTAGCAGTACTGAGGACTGGAACAAAAGATCTGTCTCCACAGAAGCAAGCAAGATGTTTCTTCATTGACAGAGTCTATTTCCAGAGTTGCCACTTCTTTTCTTTTTTTGTTCCAACAGAATCTTAGTGTGGCCTGTTGTAAACTTGATCAGAATAAAAAAGGAACTAGAGTGTTGTTTGATTAAAAAAAATAAATCTGGTCACTCCACTAGATCATTTTATAATATAGCACCCCACATAGCTTGTACTGGCACAACTGAAGGGTTAGCAAGCTGCTGTGCTGAGGCAGCCATTTCTTCAACCAGCACTGCTGCTGGACAAATTAAATCCAATTATGCCCTCTGGAAAGATGAACCAAATTAGCTTTACCTCAGAATACAAAAAAACAGTATTAAATAAGGTTTGTTAAAGCCATATGGAGTGGCCTGTAGCTATCTTAATCTGATTTAGATAAACTCAAAAGTGTGTTAAGATGCTTCAGAGATGGATACAGTACAGTTCTTTCTCTGTAGTTTCAACATATCCACAAATTCAGGAAGTTAACACTGCAAGAATTTTGCCTGCAGAAAGTTCTCAGAAGCTTGTGGGTTTGGGTTTTCACTAAATTTCTCCAAAACTGACAATTAAGGCCATTAAGAATATATAATAGTACCATATTAGATAGATCCAATGCCTGGCTCAACTCAGCAACAAATGCTTACATTCACTGCATAAGGAAAGCACAGACTCTTCCCCAGCAATCCTCAGAGCTCCTGGCAATCCACATTAAGGTCCCAAGGCTAAGGTTTTCATTTGAAAGCTACTGGCCTAGTTTCCCTGAATTTAGCTCCTTTTCCAAATCTATTTATGCTTTTGGCCTCCATAACATCCTGTTAAATTAGTTCAACAATTTAAGCTCTGACCTGCTTAAAAAAAAAAAAAAAGCTGCCTTTTAACTATTGTAGCATCATAAAATCATTATTAAGGCTCGTTTGTTCTAATATCATATTTTCTTTATAATCAGGCTTACCTTAAAATTCCATTTATCTCCAACTTGCCTGCAGAGGTTTAGGTCCATCTCTGCCACCAGCAGCCCATCCTGAGTGCGAGAGAGTCCCGGGGTCCTGCTGCCGTCTGGTGCAGCTACGTAACTCGAGCCATAGAAATGGCCCAACTCGTGGTGTGCTTAGAGAGATTTTTAAAAAGCATGTATTGCCATTTGCAAATAGGTATGTAACTTAACATGCAGTGTCCCACAAATCCCACAAATGACTCCATTTCTTGGGGACTCACTGTCCTTTAGGTAAGATAATCATCTTGAAGAGTCACAGCATGACCCTAAAATAACTGCAATTTTGGCCAGTTATAATTTTCACGCACAGTACACTATTAAATTATCAGGAAAATCTCGCTGCATTGCCTTTCAAATAATGTACCATTATGCTTTTCCATTATTAGGTCTCAGGACTAAAGGCTTTGCTTTCATTGCTTTTTACTTAGCATTTAAATGAATTCTAATTGTCAAATCACGCATTTTCAAAACTGCTGACAGAGATGCACGCATTCTGTTTTCAACAGAAGGTCAGACGTGAAAACACTGGGATCTGAGGCACAGAAAAGATGTTATTTCATATTGCACAACTATGAGCTGTGCCAAAAATCAATCACATCTGTTGTACTACGAAGCAATGGATACCACTGACCTTTTTCATGCAGCTGCTAAAAAAACTACTTAGCTCCAAAACTGGCTAAAAAAGGCTCAGGCCCACTCTGGATGGAGCCACAAGCAGACATGGCTTTCACAGGACAAATTACTCTGTTTCAACACATAAGTACATACAAGAAAACCTCATGGTCCTCATTGATCATTCTCTTTAACTTCCAGCAAATCTGGGAACTGGTATTGAATTCTAAACATACCTTTTCCACCATCTCCAGAAGTAAAGGCATTTTTGTAGTATTCCTGTGAAATAAGAGGAATCCATAGGTGGCAGTATAATCACATTTCAGTTAAGAAATCCTTGCTAGCCCATCATATTTGAAAGTTTATATAAATCTACAAATATTTTTTTCTGGCACACAATCAGCCCTGTCTAAAGGGAGTCATCAGAGAGGCCTAGTTTCTGTGACAGATAGCACAGAACACAAGGTCTTTTTGTATCACTGCCTGTTGTTCATACACTTTGGGGAACATGCCTTGTTATCCATTTCACAAGTTTAAAGAGGCAAAAGAGGAGATATTTAACCAAACACATCTTTTTAGATCACAAAAAAAGGCAAACATATTTACATAGCAGCAAGCAACAAGTCTGGATTTTTGCTGGGAATCTAATTTTAAAAATATACACATAGCATAACTGGACTAATCTGAAGGTAAGAATGACCTATTGCATGCACTATTAAATTTAATTATAGAATTTTACAGTCCAGAAAGAGACAGTATCTGTACAACAGCCACAAGTTGTGTACCGCTGACTCAAGGATATATTAAATTTTCAGCCATTTTGACTAAAAGAATACTGATTTCACCAGAGAAACTGGGAGAGTTAGGAAAAGGGTGGGTGCCTATTACAGAGATTCAATTCAAGAACAGGAAGTAGCTGCAACCAAAAAGTAGGCTGCCAGCAACAGAGGCAGCTCTCAATCTCTTCATCACTGTCCGTCTTCAAATCACATCATAAACCCTAGTACAGTGGTTACACAGCAGAGGAACCCAAGCATTCTAGTGCTGTCAGTCCCTGCCTTGAACAAACTCATGCTCCAGCCCCTGAATGATGGAATGAAACAGTGAAGATACGAACCGTTCCTACTCTGTTGATGGGACATGTGAAGCAGTGATTGGCTATGGCAGCGTTTCTGGCTTCAATTGGCCACAGCGCCTCGCTGCAACACACAAAGAGACAGCAGGTATTCATTAATTGTACATTTCAGTGCTAAATCTAGATTCACTGTCTCACACTGCACATTTTCTGTCAAAGAAGCCAAAGCTAGCTTTCAGGAAATCAAGTCAGTACGGTGCAATTAATGTTAATCTGCAGAAGATTAATCTCAAGGGACAGTTTACACTGGTCCAGTCTGGTTCAAGAGCCATGATAATCATAAAATTGCCAGCAGTTTAAAAAAAATGTTTCTGAGAAATAGGTATCTCAGCTTGGTGCTGAAAACTGCAATTCCATACCACACTCCTAGGTGGACAATGCAAGGTGGTAAAATAAGCCTGAACATGATCATTACCAATTATATAGCAAAAATATTACATAAAAAAATCTAAATAAACTCTCAGTTTTCAGAACACCAGCTGGATGCTGGTTAATGCTGTCTCAAAGACAGGAGACTGCTGATGCACAATAAAGTTCTGAAAGACAATCAGTTACTGGGAGGAGACCGGGAGCCCAAAATTCCTGGTGGATGAGAAAGAATGCAGGCTCCTTTGTAAGTCAAAACAAGGAGACTGCACTTCCAAGACCCCAGCAAAGTGCATTTTAGGCCCCACTGAGGGGCTCAGAGGTTCAGTTAACCCAGAAAGGGAACAGTGGCATAGATCAGTTTGTATTTTACCTGAGTGTCCCTATAGTGGCTGAAGGGTTAAAGATGATCTCTGCTCCATTCATGCTATACATGAGCCAGTTCAGAGGGTGGTGGCGCCCATAACAGATGTTCACAGCAATTGCCCCAAACTGTGTCTGAAACACTGGGTGTCCTGTATTTCCTTCCATGTAATAAGTAGACTACAAACAAACAAAAGAAGAAATAAACAAACAAAAAACCCAACCAACCAACAAAACCCACAACAGCAGACTTCTTAAAGAAGTGCAAAGAAGTACTTCCAACTAAAAATGCTTTTTAATCTGTAGATGGAAGGCTGAGTATAATACAATGAGATTTACAAAATCTCTTAGGCAGAAGGAAAGATGAATACAGAAATGCCAAGGCAGCAGGAACGTGTATCCACTGAAATTACACTCTTATACCTACTTTCAAGCAAAGGAACTTTTATTATGCAGCAGGTAGTGCACTTCCAAAATATGCTACTTTCTGAAAGTACCATCACCAGGTTCAGACAGGGAGAAAGACAGTGATAAAGATGCACAGATAAGGAGACAAAGCATACCACCCAACATTCCTCATAAAACACTAAGGGTCCCAAGGGAGTACAGAAGTTGCAGTGGCCAGGCTGATTCCTGACAGTGTCCTTTGGTGCTGATCTGAGACAGAAGAGCAAGGGACACAATCCACCATCCTGGCCCAATGGGACATGTCTCTCATCAGGGAAGGAAAGTGCTGTAAAGCAGACCCCTCTCTATGGAAATTATCTGTTCCTTGTAACCACCACTGCCATTGGTCCTGAAGGAAGTACAAACACCTGAGGTACAGCTGGGGAACAAACCTGGGCCTCCTCTAAGAGGGTGCCAATGGCATGACAGATACAGGAGGGTCACTTTCTGAAACCAAGGGCTACAGGTTCAGTATGTCCAGTAAAATAATTGTCTCATGTTTCTTATTTATTATCAGGTCTCATGAAATTGCACAGCCCCTTGGGTACTGATTTGATCTCCTTTCATATCTGTAGACAGCAGACCACATGGTGGGTGCTCACACAAGCCTTTTTCAAAACAATTCTGCTGAATGAATATTATTTCTTTTCTTACAATAGGAGAAGAAAAACAGGAATGCTGTTGCTTCAGGGAATTCATCAGTTCCTATTTCTTTATTTCACACCAGAGGTCACAATCCTCTCCACAGCAATAAACTGTGATGTCTCAAGAAGGATTGATTTTTGTTTATACAGCCTCCCACACATGGCTGAATAGGCCACAGACCAATCTCTTTGCCCTTTCCATTTAGTTCTTACTGATTCAATGGGCACGATTTTAACAAGGCTCCTTTCCCATCTGCCCTACAGAGACAACCCACCAGAAATAATTTCAAATTCGGTATTTCCTTGAGGTTTAACTTTGTTGATAAAGAAAACAACATGATGAATATAATCCTTTCCTGTAGGCTGGGTGGTTTCTGAAATTGCTTTATCAGGATTGTTTAGCTCAGAAGAGTGGACTTAATGCATTGCTAACAAAGGCAGCTGAAGACAGTGCTGTCTTGGGTAAACACTACCTGATTCTGTAACAAGGTAGATACAAGAAGAAATGCTAAATCATTATAGTATATTTGGAAACTATAAACAGATTGCTTTGTAGTAATTCTGGCATTTAGGATTCTAAGAACTAACTTCTTTTAGCAACTGTGCAAAACTCGTAACAAAACTCTATTTATACTTTACATGAGAAAGTAAAAATACTTTATTTAGGTGTCTCTCATTACAGTTTCATAGCTGGAAACAGTGAGTTTCTTGGAATCTGTTGATTCTCCACTAAACATTGTCAGGAAAACTGAAAGACATCATATTTTAGCACAAGCAACAGGAATTTATTTTTTATTGGATTACATAAGGAACAAATAAAAAAATTTGGGAAGTAACTAATGAATTTCTTAGTTACTACTTTTGCTAGCTAAAGGACAGACCTGATAAAATAATATTAAATCTCAAAATAATTGTTAAAAATACAAGGTAAGACTGGTGACTGACAGACTGTGCCAGAAATTCATTGTGTAGAACTCAAGTACAGCCTCCTCTGGAGAAACTCAAACCAGCCTGATCAGGTCTGGGAGCAAGGTCAAAACTTTCAGAGATCTTTGAACACAAAGTTTTGAGAGCCAAAAGAACTTTTTGCATTAATAAAAAATCATTTTAGGTTCTGAAGCCTCAGTTTGATGACTGGAGCAGTCAGCCAAGGAACAAAAGCCACTGCAGGTATACAGCAGCCTCCTGTGCTTAGAAGAAATGCCTCTATTAATTACTCACTTTAGCTGACAAGGAGAGATTTAGTTAGGTAAGACAATGTATTTTTAGACTTCAGTTAATTTTTAATCCTGATCTTTCTGCTTGTGATAATTCTATGGACGGATAAACACATTTCAGCTTTACCACTCATTGCCTTTACTTCCAGTTGAGTTTCTGATTCTGGAGGAAGGCCCAAAACCTGCTGGGGGCTTCAGCTGCAATAATGTGATTAGTAAACAGAAGATGCCATAAACCTGCTATTCAGTCAGAGGCACAATGAATTAAGGGATTCTGCTCGAATAAACACAAGCAAAAGGAACTGTCATTTCCAAGACAACCTCGCAGAGAAACAGAGAAAAGCTGTAAGTAATGTTCATGCTTGAACCATGAAACAATTGCCCTGCAAATTAAAGTAAGTTCAATGTGCACACATGACAAAACTACCCAAGCCAATCATGCACAACAAACATAACACAGCTGTAACTTACACAATTCTTTTAAAGGATATTTGATACTTCTGAAGTTTCACTGGGCCAAGGAAGAGCACCTAACAAGATTCAATATTATTTTTTTTTCCTTTAATTCTCATCACTCTCACAAAAATTATTCCTTTTTGAGAAATTAACTTACTATCCCTTCATCTCAGAAAAACTGATCTGACAGTAAGTGAACCACATTTTCTAGAAACACATTGCATTTCCTGCCACTGTGACTCAGACACAACCAAGAGCTGCAAGGTAAGACTAACCTGATTGTCACAATACTGCATCTTACCTCATTGAAATCTCCAACCCTTGGAATATGATTTTTCCTACTTTTGCCAAGGAGTGCTCCAGAATTAGAAATGATCACTGCAGTATTCCACAGAATTCCACCGTGCAGTTCATCTCGCTCCAGGATTGGAGACACCACAACCATATTGTACTTCTTTGCAAGCTGCACAAGTGAACATGAGTACCTCTATTATACACCAGCCTGCAGTACCCCCCAGAATGACAGACACCACAGCCAGCTGAAAACAGTCAATTAAAACAAAAGGTAAAACAGCATTACGTGTTAACTAGAAATGTTAAATAACACAGATGCAAGTAAGAAATACAGCAAATTCTGCCTGCCAGTTCATTGGTATATTGACTTTTTCTTCAAATGATGTCAGTTGTTTTTTTGGTTTTTTTCTTGGTTGGTTGATTGGTTGGTTTTTTACCTCTTGACAGAATTTTGTTGTTGGCCCATCCTCTGCTGACTCAGCAAATTCAGTCCAAGGAAGTTTCTCTCTTGTACAAAAAGCAAAGGGCATGGCTGGAAAACAACAAAGCATGGCATAGTATACAAAAATATTGATGTCAATCAAGAAATACATGCTATTTGCATGAATACAGATTAAAAAAATTAACAATTAAGACCATGTTAATTAAAAACAGATTTTTAAATTTTAATACCTGTCTAGAAAACCTCCCCAAAGTTTTAGGAGAAAAATAAGAAGTGGAAAGGATCATAAAGGATGCCATGAAGGAGCTCCAAATATCATATGGCAGTCTTCAATACAACAGACCTCTCATATCTCTTCCAAACAGTTTGGCTACCTCAGACTCTTTGGTTTTTCCTTTAGGAAGCAAATCACTACAGTCAATTGTTGTATCTTGGAAGATTTCTACTGTTTACTTACAAGATGTAGTACAGGACACCTGTTAAAACAGAAGGCACTCAGCAGCCTACAGGGAACCACAGAAAATACTCACTCCAAGCCTCCTGGAAACACACAATGTTGACCCCACACATTGCAGCCACTCCCACCATCTCCTCAATGCGTCTGTGCAGAGCAGCCACCTGATTGCAAGAAATGTCACATTATTAAAAAAAGCCACATGTTCTAACTCACCTCTGTGTTAACCTCTAACCTAGCTAACCTCTGTGTGCCTGGTTTTACAGCCATGTTCACATGGAGTTTATCTTGTTCTATACTTAGTGCCATTGCTTTCAGGGGAAATAACTTGAGGTATCACTCCTGAACACTGATAGTAGAGTCAGATTCAGATTTTTAAAAGCATTTAGATGCTGAAAATAGAGAAAGCATTCCAATGGGATCCTGATTTCATGGTTGCAACATTTATAGAGCTGGAAACTCACTGCTGCCTGACTTGCAAAAAGCTGAAAATCTAAACAGAATCAACAAAACCCATAATTTTGCTGCTCATTGTAAACAACAACAGGGTGACGTTAAATCCTCTGTCCTAAGAGCTAAGTAATTATTACCAAGAAAAATCATGAAAGTATTTATTAATTAGTTTTCTAGAGTATTCTACTTAAAGATAAGCATAGGTGTAGTACTTTGCATTGCTAGTTTCAGTTGTCAAAATGGAGTGAATAAAGACAAGACTGCAGTGACGTATGAACTCAAAAATTGTATATTGATTTACAGAAAGAGTTTAGTTATTCATAAAGAAAAATCATTAATTAATCATAATACTTTATTCAACCACTGTTACATAAAGAATCCACAAAATGGATTAATTTACTGAATTAATGACTTGCATCTGTGATAGGTAATCTTTCCAAAACAAACTACTTCAGAAATATTCTGTCCTGTCACTGTACAAAACCATTGCTCCAGGAAATTTTATAAATGCAGTGTTTTCTTTCCCTTTTTTAAAGCTACTCTCAGGAGACTTATTTCTATACCTATTTGTCACTTCAGTGCTGTTGTGTCCGAGATGTTAAGAGATGATGGTTTCAGAATCATTAATGTTGGAATAGACCTCTAAGATCATCAACCAAGTCCAACCATTAACCCAGCACTGCCAAGTCACCACTAAACCATGTTATCTTGTAATAAGATTTCACTCACTGCTGTACAAAGAATAATGAACACAGCTTTATTAATCTGTTTCCTCTAATGGATTTTCCTGTAATGGAACATTTCTCAATTAAAACAAGAACTGCACCTGTGGTTTCTACTGGTTGCAGTCTCTTTTGATTTTGTGTAAATGATTTTGTGTTTCATCTTAGAGGCAAAGGATTTTCATGTACAAAATGAGCTACTAAATATTTAGCTTTGGAAAAACTGCAAGCAGGTTGGGCATGCTAGGTAAACACAAGAGATGTTTCTGAGAAACTGTAAAACCAAATGTGTGATTCCAATTTCTTACAGGATGCTCTACTGCAGTAGTGATGGGTTCTGTACTGCCAAAGAATCATTAGACATTTCATGATACTGTTCCTTAAACCAACAGTTGAACCGTGTTATGTCTCAATCCAGCAGAAGAGAAGTTAGAAACAGCCCCAGTCCCAGTTTCTGTACCTGGACTGCCACTGCTGTGTCTGTGGGAAGAGGAATTTTATTCTGTATCAGTCCCACTCGAACAATACGTGGCCTTCTCAATTGCTCCGAAGCAGCTTCAAATCCATAGCCCTGTAGCTCAAAATCTCTTTCCTGAGCTGCTGACAGTGCAGCACTTGGCAAGTCAAGTTTTCTGGATTGAACAGGAAACAAAGACATTTCAAGATGAGATGTTCTCCTCTTCTGCTCTGAATGCAATGGACCAAGGGGATGACAATTCTGTCTAACCCTGCAGAGACACCCAAGCTCCCAGGCCCCAACATTCATCCATCAGCCAAGGGCCAGGCTCATGTGCTGATCTCACCGTTCACCTCCACATCACAAATCTCCCCCTGTCCTCATGTCATTTCCAGACACCAACCCCTTGCTGCAGAAATCAAGGAGCACATGCACACAAGCTTCCACCTGCCATACCTGGATTATAAATACTTTCCCTCCAATGTATTTTCCTACAATTTAATTCCTACTTGTCAGGCCCCATCATCCCGATATCACTATTCCCGTCAGGTTTTTCATCCCTGTCCGTCACCTTCTTACACCGGCCTGCTTTCCACACCTGGATCACCTCCAAAATACCCCGGTCACCTCTCTGCAGCACCACAAGCCCTACTTTTCCTTTTTCCCCTCAGCCCAGCCCTGTGTCTTGCATACCCGCCCTCACAATGGCTCCTTCCCCTCATTCCCGAGATGGGCATCCCCGCAGAGACCGGGGAGAGGAGGGACGGAAACCCGCAGAGCAGGGGGCGAGCCCGTCCTGGTGGCGCACCTGGCCTCGCCCCCATAGAGGATCCGCTTCACCTCGGCGAGTTCCCCGGGCGGGATGTGCCGCTCCAGGCACGACTCCAGCGACTCCAGGGCTCCCGCCATAGCTGAGGGCGAGCGCGCGCAGCCCCTCAGCCGCTCGGTGGGCCCCTGGACTTTGCCCCGGGCGGCCCCGTCGGTCACGCCCCGCTCCCCTCACGGGTTTTGGCGGGACGGTCCCGTCAGGTGCCGCC